ATTGCTGAGTCTGCAGGTTTGCTGTGGCGGAGTTGTTTTACTCATAAGATAAAATTAAATGTTAAGATTTTATAGTATCACACTATTTAACTAAATGGGATGAATTATCCTAAATCTTGAAAGTAACCGTCAATTTAAATGTGTTTAACCTTCTTTTTTGATAAATAGAAAATACTAAATATACTTAATCGCAAATAACTCAAAAACCGTTGGGTTTAGAGAAAGATGATAATTTTTAGATGGACTACATTTTGTATATTTAGCTTTTTCCTGTATCTCTAATAACAAAGTCACTATAGCGAAAAATACAGAAATTTGCCGCCATTTTCCAATATGGCGGCCGTAGCACAGCTTCAATTTTAGGGGACTTTTAGTATGTTCAAAAGGAAGGTACACCCAACATCTGTACCAAATTCCCCGCCTGTGCTAATTTTTTTTCGTCAAAACATATTTTTATTGTACTAAAATTAAAGGTCTCGATCCCGTGACGGCGGGAAGAATAGCATTAGAAGCCATTTACTGCTGATTTTTGTTTACTTCAATACAGCTGATCGTGATCAAACCAGTAAGCAATATTACATTTTTATTAAACTCATTTGCCAGTTAAGTCAATTCTGCAATCTACTGTACTTGAGAACCCGTGCGGCTCAGTGAGCCGCATAGTATGAAACATAACGCCGAGGAAAAGTTTATTCTTGAATTCGAATAATTGTAGCTACATCTTAGAGTTGTTTAAACACTTGCTAGAAACTAATTTTAAATATCGCTGTTTGGGTCGTACAGGTTCACCTACATTATTTCTGCTCTCAGTTTTAATTGATAACTTATAATGAATGCTAAACGATCTGCTTCAATTCGAGTTAACATGTTGCAACAAAGTTTTTCCAGTATTATGAATTGAAGAAAACTGTTACCTTAGGCCAACTGATAACCTGTGTTTAGTAATTGTTGGGTAATTTTATTTCTTTGATTTAAGACATCCCCCTAATCAAACCAATTTTCTTCGTGGATACACAGGGTGTCACAAAAAAGTGTGATGGGCTATACAGGACCTAATTCTTCATGCAAAAATAAGTCAAAAATTAAGAATAAATTTTTTTGGATTTCGGCTTAGTTTAGTCGTAATCCGCCATTTTGTTTTTTGGGGAAAATATTTACTATTTCAAAATCCCTTTGAGATATTTTTACAAAACTTGGCAAAATTGTTTACACTATAGTAAGTAACATTTATAAAAAAAATTACTATTTTAACTTTCCAAATTTAAAAATGGCGGTCGTTTGAATTTTTTAATGCCAAATTTTATGAAAACCGGTACCTAAATCACAATTTTGTAAGACACAAAAGTTTTAGTATTTATTATGACAAATCCAACAAAACAAAAATGAATAAAATCGGTTCATAAATAAAGAAGCTGTGTTTATTTTAGTAATTTAGACTGAAATTATTAATATTAAAATGTATTAAATGTAATGTAATAATTTATGTAACGTATTAAGTAATTTCAGTCTAAATTACTAAAATAAACACAGCTTCTTTATTTATGAACCGATTTTATTCATTTTTGTTTTGTTGGATTTGTCATAATAAATACTAAAACTTTTGTGTCTTACAAAATTTTGATTTAGGTTTTTATGAAATTTGGCATTAAAAAATTCAAACGGCCGCCATTTTTTTATTTGGAAAGTTAAAATAATAATTTTTTTATAAATGTTACTTACTATAGTGTAAACAATTTTGCCAAGTTTCGTAAAAATATCTCAAAGGGATTTTGAAATAATAAATATTTTCCCCAAAAAAACAAAATGGCAGATTACGGCTAAACTAAGCCGAAATCCAAAAAAATTTATTCTTCATTTTTGACTTATTTTTGCATGTAGAATTTGGTCCTGTATAGCCCATCACACTTTTTTGTGACACCCTGTATATGTTTGAATAGCTTTTCCATTTAGATTAAAAGTTGTAGCTCATCATGATAATTAACTCTCAGATTTACATTGCATAGCTGTAGTGATTTGTCTATTATAATGATAACACAAAAGTAATATTATAAATAGTTCATGTTACAATTCAATATAATAAATTGATTTATCTATGTATTTGTTATTGTATATAGTATGTTCGCTTGATGTTTACGACTCAAGCTTTGTTTCACAGGGGACAAATTTCAGAGTATTTGATGTAAAAACTCATATGTATTCTAGTAATGAATTTGTAATAGTATTGATGTCATATTCTAGAATAAACCTCTTGACATCATGAAAATGTAGTACTTTTTATCCCTAGTTAAGGTTTGAAGGCGATGATTTGTAGATTTAATTCTTGCAACATTCTCATAGTAATCTTGCACAGTTACAAGACAGATCAAATAATATAAGTCTATGGAGATGTTTAGCTTTGACAATATCTTTACTATATCCAGAGGTATCAAACAAAAAGTGCAAGCCACATTCTATTTTTTTGTAAAGATCCTCCGTTACTATAGAAATCTTTTGTTCATAAATTTGTCATTTAACTATATTTCAACTAAGTGGGTCTCCAATTTACAAGGTTGTAAGCCATTTTAAATTAATTTTTAATTTTAGAGTATTTTCTTATAGCAAGATTTAAAATCACTTGTATCTCAAAAATGTCAAAAGATACAGCAAAACTGTTAAAATTTAAGTACACTATATAGGTTCCAACTTTTGGTAAAAAAAAAACAAAAAAAAAACAATAATAATATAGCAGAAAAAAAATGTTTAATCAGGTGTCATTTGTTAAATATATTGAACAGTAATATATTATAATATGATGTCCGTGTTAATATATATAGATAAGACAGAAATATAGACAACAACATATCAAACAACTGGAAGGGGGAATGGTAGACGCACTAGTAATAATTAGACGTGGGGCGGGTGAGTTGGCCCAAAAACCCCGCTCCCCAAAAAACGGCACCGACAAACTATCCTACTAATAAAACCCCACATCATTACCTTGCATGTAGCAACAAACCTAAGTAGGCCCTCTTTGACATTAATGTTATTTAAATAGGAAATTAATCTGACAATTTTAAGGAAATGTTTTAGTAGAAATCCTGTCAAGTAAATCGAAATTCGCTTACTCTGCAGGTTTGCTGCGACGGGGTTGTTTATCTTTTATTATTTACTCTAATTAAATATTCAAACAATCTTACTACTAAAGCTACGAACGTACATATAGTCTGCCTTTTGTCACATTTTTAACGACTCTTTGTACATTTTAGTTAGTGAATATATTTTTCTTACTGTCGATTTGTTATTTTACTCCGGCTAATAGAAGCGTTTTTTTGAATTAAAGAAGACAACATAGCTTCTAAATGGTGTTGGAAAACTCTGACTCTGACTTATTATAATCCTATAACAAAAATGTATACTTGTGTATCTAGTATATAAAATAAGGGGTTTGGACAAATTTAATGGAAATAAGAATAATACAGAAATAGTATTAATTATTAGAGGAAGTTTATGTAGCAATAAGAAGCTTTGTTGAGTCCCTTATCTGAGCCCATATTTTTAAACTAAATAATATTATTATTACTACCAACCCTGGACATTCTCAATTAGATTAGCTATCCGAGGTCGACAGGTTAATTTTGCCCCAGGACGAAATTGTAATGTCGCAAATAAATCAAAAGGGGATTTCGTTGTTTCCATTTTTCCATCAAATATTAATTGTAGTGAGAAAATGAGTATGTCATATGATGTATGTTACAGAGACGTATAACACGAGACGTATACGGGTTTGGACGTATGTGATTACACCTTCAAATTTTGGTTTCGTTTATCACCCGAATAAACAAAGTGCGGTTACTTATTAATTGGCGATTTAAATAAAACAGTACCGGTACAAAGGTTTAATTTTAGCGAATTTCCCTAAAGAGAAGGATTATTACCACAGGTGACGTGGAAATAACTAAATCTATTTAATTTTTCATTTTGATGTCCTCGGAAACCAAAAAAAATATTCGTTCAAATATTTATATTTGCAAATCTCGAAATCGAAATGTATCCGTTAGTCCCACAATGATAAAATTGAAATTTGTGTCACTAAACCAAATCTAAGAAATAGCGTAAAAATATATTATATGTTTTTCAACGTATGAGGTAGCAAAACCAGAGATCCACTAGCTCAAATCTCACACAATTAATTAATTGTCAAGGACAATTATTGATTTTTTTCAATTTTTCCAGTCTTTATTTGTTTACAGCCGTTAGTATCTCTTTATACATTGTGGCCCATGACATGCTGTTTGACAATTAACATGCGATTTGTGTGGTGAAATCATATCTTCCGTCGATAACTCAAAAACTTACATACTCTTAGTTTTTAAATGTTCTTAACTGTAATAAAGAAATATTTGAATGTCTGTTTTAATTTTTTTTTTAATTGTCTTTTTACATGATTGTATTATACTTATTTTGTATTTTTAAATTATTTTTTTTTATTAAAGAAATGTAGTTTTAGCTAAGACTTGGCCAACGTAACTGTCTTTGTTAATCTGGCTCAACAAATGACTTTGACTTTGAATCATTCCTTCATACTGTATTGGCACCTTTTGGATTACATTTGACACTTTTTAAATATGTATTTATTAAATCTGTTTTGCCCATGTGAAGCTATTACTTTCCGTCAAAAAGTTTTATCACGACATTAAAGTCAATCAAACTTTTTTACAGTTATCATATCTCCCAGACCGTAATGTGTAAGGTGACTAATAAAGTTTAAGTAGATTTGAACAAGGAATAGCACTAATTATATGACTGGATTTTCATGTTTTGTGTCATATTAGAAGGACTGTGGACTCATTTTACTATCATTACAATCTCATAACGAAAATAAATTTGCATGCTTATTGGGCTTCACTAATTAATCGTACGTTTAGGACGTAATTGGCAATAGATAGGTTATACGCCTAACGTACACAGAATTCAGCATGTCTATTTTACTGAGTTGTGCAAGGCGAGGGCGTATGAGTTACCTTGACAGAGTGGTGAGCGAGTTGAGCTAGTCATCGGCCGCAGCAAGGAGTCACCGCCACCACCCGGCACAGACTGAGACTGTCCGACTGTCTCTCAAAACCACCAACCACCCCCCAACCCCCCCCCCTTCCCCCACCCACCTACCACCCCCGGTAAATAACTGTTTACACTCCAAATAACCCGGAAAATTAATATAAAAGTAATTAGTAAACCTTAGCTCTTTGAGGATTCCGATCTGTTAAAACAACCCAATGAAATATGCTTAACATTAATTGTTGAGCGAAGCTCTTTGAGATCGGACCTTGTAGGCCGAATCAGATGACTCAATAACGACTGAACATATTAAAGACAAACTTACCAGGGTTATTTCGACAAACAGTGAACATTTTATTAAACAAACAATTTTTTATTTCGATTTGATAACCAATTTGTCCAACAATTTGTCATGACCACGCATCTACCCGTGCTGCGTCGTAGTGTCCTGTACTGGCCAGTATCTTTGTACAATGTCAATCCGTGTTTTCGTGTTTAATGTGTGTGTTTTTGTCATTACCTCAATTTGAGTGATATGACATTTTAACCGCCTGATGATAAGTCATAAGTCATTTATTTTCTGAATAGGTACAATTTTTTACAATTATACATCTCAGTCGTCAATAAGAACTACAGTAATAACATTTAATAAATAATATAAACAATATATAAAAAATAAAAATACATTCAGCCAGACATAAATTCTATAAAAGTGTACGGTTCTTTTTGTACAAGGTAGGATTTCAAACATTTTTTAAACTTTCTTTTGCCATAACATTCCTTTATACTGGTTGGAAGACGGTTAAACATCTTTATACCCGCTGTAAAAGTTTCTCTTTCAGACAGGGACAGGCGGATTTGTGGAAGAAGAAGATCTGAGCCATGTCTGGTGGGATACCTATGTCTATCTCCAACAGCAGGAAGAGACCCAATTTTATTCTTGATGAAAAGAACCACTTTAAAAACATATAGAGAATAAAGTGTGAGTATGTTAAGATTTCTAAAAACTCCCCTACTAGAGTGCGAGGATGAGAGACCAGATAAAATACGTATGGCTCGTTTCTGTCCCGTAAATGCGTTGTCTGCATGTGTGGAACCTCCCCAAACCTCTATACCATATGATATAACAGACTGAAAGCATTCATGGTAGACATTGATAAGGTCCCTCTGATCAATCAAAGAAACCAATGTTCTCAAGGCAAAGCTCACCTTGCTCAAACGACCACAAAGATCTGAAATATGTGATTGCCACGTCAGCTGAGAATCCATAACAACACCTAAAAACTTGACTTCTGAAAGTTCTTTTATTGAAGATTGTGGTAGTTTAAGATGCAGTGGATTTTTGTTTCTTGTTAGAAATTGGACATAATTAGTTTTATTCTGATTAAAAAGAAGATTATTATTAAAGAGCCAGCTATCAAAATTTGTAATTGTTGAAGACATGTTCTCTTAAACAACTTCAGACGAGCCCTTAAAAAGCATGGTGGTATCATCTGCATACAGCGTTAAGGAGTTAGGAAAAACATAGGCACCGACGTCGTTTATATAAAGAATAAAAAGCAGAGGTCCAAGGATAGAGCCTTGAGGGACACCATATCTCACTTCGGCCAGTTAGGAACAGCATTCTGCGCCAACCTCAACGTATTGCTTACGACCAACTAAATATGACCTGAACCATTGAAGAGGAATTCCACGTATACCAAAACATTCAAGTTTGTGACAAAGAATATTATGGTCAACCCGATCGAATGCTTTCGATGATGGGATTTTAATCCCGAACCCGGTCGCCTAAGACGACAATAGGATCATATTGACGGACAGGTAATATAAACCATTTTATTCAATAAAAGATCCTGGGCCACTAAGCATAATGAGATTTGATAACGCCTGTGCAATTTAAAACGAATCTAAAATATTTAGTATTGGCCTTAATGGGTTGCTCTGATGGTTACCGAATAACAAAACAAAACAACGTGAATGTAAATAAAGAAAGATTTTTTTATTTTATTATATTTTACAATCTGTTCAGAACTATGAACAATTTGTAAAAGGCATAATATAAATGAATGAGTTGAGTAAGAGTCTCTCCAGTGATAGATCTTGCAAAAACAGTCATTACATGCAACTAAAACTAAACTAAACAAATCTGTATGTAAGTTCAAGTAGCCTACTTTCACAGTTTTCAACTATTCTTCGTAGCGCCTGTGACTGAAATCTTTGAATTATTCTTAAGTTGGATTTGCTTGCCGTTCCCCAAAGCTGAATCCCGTACGTCCAAATAGGTTTGATCATAACTTTGTTAAGTGTGAGTTTATTGGTCAACGAAAGCTTCGATTTTTTGCCCAGAAGCCAGTTGAGTTTACTAACCTTAATTAGACTGGGATGGGTGGCGTCGTCCTGTAATCCAGCTACTAGGAGGTCACGAATTGTGGATATTTAGAGGGATGCACTGTGGATGCGATGCTCCCTGGTATGGATTAACGTCCGCACTAGTGAGTACTACCATAGATAAAACATACTCCATGGTACTACTACTATCCGCAGTACTATCCTGATAATTAGACTAATTCGTAAATTACAAGGAAAAAATGTTGTTTGGATTCCACTATAAACTGTAGGTCCCTTAGTTGCCATTATAGCCCAGTCAATGAATGCAATAAAATACCCTTTTTCGCAACTAAATGGTGGAAAGCTGGATTTTTTTATATGTGATAGAACCACATGAGAGGTGTATTTTCCCAAAAGTCCCCACTTCTACCCCTTGAGCTTTCCCCCCCCCACCCCCCTCCAAACTTAGAAATTGCAGTGTTTTACTTAATTGGTCATAATTCGAATGCTATGTAAGCTATCGAGCTGCAATTTGTTTTGTTTTATTTTTGATTAGTTTTCCTACAACTTTTGTTTTTACAACATTTTTCTAAAACCAATACTGAGAGAGATATAAAATTTAAATTTCGTTAAAAGCTTTGTTTCAGAGTACAAAATTTTGTTTTTCTCTATGTATACTTTTAAATAGAAATAATACGCTAATGTGGTACAAACAAAAGTTTTAGTACGTTTTTCAAGGTTTACAAATATGTTATTGGTTAGTCATCTAGGTGACCGGGTGAAGAGCTGGGCGTCGGCAAACAGAGCGCGTGCGGGCTAGTTGAACACTTCTGCGCTGCGTCAACGCAATCTAGCCCAGCCAATAAACGCACAAGCTGCCTTTTTCGTAGCTAAATAGTGGAAAGCTGAGTTTGTTATGTGTAATGGAACCACTCAAGAAGTGTTTTTTTTTAAGTTCCCGATCTTCCCCCTTGAGCTTTTCCCCGCAACCCCTTCCAAACCTGGAAATTACAGTCGTTCACTTTACTGGATATAATTCAAATTCTACGTATGCCATCGTAGTGAAATTTGATTTGTATTATTTGTAATTAGTTTATCTTCAACTTTTGTACTAAAGGTTTTCTTACAAAACTATATCCAAAGAGATATAGCATTTTAACTTTTTTTTATGATGTTTATGTTTTAGAGTTCACAATTTTGTTTTACCATCTACATATTTTTTTCAAATAAAATGCGCAAAATGTTTCAAATAAAAATGTTGGGTATGTTTCTTACGGTTTATAAATATATATTTGGTTAGTCGTCTAAACGAACTGATGTATATACAATATATAGTGTGGTGCGTCGGCAAAGAGAGCGTGTGCAGGCTTCTTCAATGCATCTGCGTAGCCCAGCCCCACCCGTCGTAGGCACCGACATCGCTAAGTTCTCAAAGGTTGTATGCAAATGCTAAGGCGTTGTACTTTGTACTTTACTACAAAAACAATCTGTATCCAAGCTTAACCGTGAACTGCAAAAACAATTATTATTTAGATGGAACCCAATAATTTACTTTTTAGCGAATTTCCCTATAGGGAAGTAGCTATTACCGTAGGTCTCATGGTAAGACTTAGGTCCGGGACCGATTTACTTTTTCATTTTGATGTCCCCAGAGGCCAAAAACACCATTCGTTCAAATTTTTATATATGTATATATATATCTATATATATATATATATAGATATATATATATATATAGATTTATATATATATGTGTCCGTGAACACGATAACTTGAGTAATTTTTATCCGATTTTGATGAAATTTGGTTTGAAGGTGTAAGGCGGGATAAACTTGAATGAGTTCGCGATCCAGCATGATCGGACCATGGGAACAGGGTTTTATGGGGTAAAAATTGGTTTTTCTCACTTTTGACCCTGAAAACACAAAATTTCCCAATTTTTCTCTAAACCTTCTTAAAGAGCTTAAAAAAACAAACAATTCAGTATATCAAAGTGTTTTTGTACGGTTATTGGTTACGGAGAAAACTAAAAAAATTGTAAATTTAAAATTCCCATGTTATTCTTATGGAGAATATTGTAAAATGTTGTAGTTTGCTTGTTTATGGATATCTTTTGTTCAAACTTGGCAAATATATTCATTTTCTACTAAGCAATAATTATTTTACTTAAAACACACACTTTATTGGTTTCCTTGTTGCAGCAAACCTAGGTACTCGTTAAACCTAATGTTTTTTAATAGATCGATTGAAAATCAATTCAGCCAAATGGAAATTCGCTTAGACGGCAGGTTTGCTGTGGCGGGGGTATTTATAACCAGTTTTGGTTCAGGTAAATTAATCTCTACCTACTTACTTGTTGTACTTGCAATACTTGTAATACTTGACTTCTTCATCTTTTACCAACGGAAGCTTGATAGATTGAGGTATAGAACACTAGGCCTAATAAACACTTTAAAAATCACTATAAACATACTCTTTACTCTTCCTTACGTTACAATGTGCTTTCCATTATCTACCACCAATGGGACTCGCTTTGTTCCGCAAGATTTTTACTAACTGCGCCTAGCGAGCAGTAAAGATCTAAACAGTAAACTGCAAAAAAATAATAATTAGATTAAACCTAATAATTTTTACATTTCTAAAATTTATTGTTAGTCTTAACTCGTTTCTCATTTGAAATAATAATTTATTTAATTATTTCTG